AACATTTTTATCCATTTCCATTTTCGTATACATCATAGTCACAATAAATAAATAAATAAAATAAAGTAAAATAACATCATTTTAGAATCAATTTATTCATCGCTCTGCACAATAACTAATAAATGTTTTTAAGCCCGATTTCTATTTAATATGCTKTAAAAATGATAGACATACGTACATATTATATAATCAATAAAGTCAACTATAGTCTATAAATATAAATAGGTAGATATTGTCTATTATATTAAAAAATCATGGTATTAAGAGGACGTGATACTCGCATGTGTTGTCTCCGTCTTACAAGTGCGTAACATAGMAATTTCTACGCTCAGAAGAACACGTGTAGCTCCGTTAGCTTAACATTTATAGTGAATTGACCTCTAATAAAATGTAAAGTTAAGATTATTATCTAGACAATCTCATCAAGCTTTTTATCATATTTTAATTTTGAAGCGAGTTAAGAGTATTTTAAAATTTTAAATAGTTTTTACATCTTAAATAACTCATAACTCGCTTCAAAATTAAAATATGATAAAAACCTTGATGAGATTGTCTAGATAATAATCTTAACTTTAAATTCACTATAAATGTTAAATTAACAGAGCTACACGTGTTCTGTCGAGCGTAAAAATTGCTATGTTACGCACTTGTAAGACGGAGACAACGCATGCCGATGTCAATTTTCAATTTAAATAAGACGTATATTAATAAAATTRTGTGTATTTACATTTATATACTTTCACTTGTAAAATTAATTTGCAATAATATTCTGCACAAAAAGCATCATTAATAACAATTTACACAGAACTAAGGAATTCTACATAATGTATGAACAACATGACCCTATATTTAATCATGACTAATTTATTTAGTTATTTTTACGCGCAACAAATAAATTAACTTAGCTACTGTATTTAAATTTACATATRATCATTATTRGTATAATACACATTTATCTTGATAATGTTTTTGTACAGTTTACTTWACAACACACGGTGTAATACTGTTATGAATTCATGTTTTAAATTAAATATCAGGTAGTTATATATACTATGACAATAATATTAGTGCAATAGGTAATACAAGCGTTGCATTGCAATTGTGTGTACTCACTTTAAGCATGCCTACGTGCGGAAACTTTTCGAAAGTCAATCGTCCGCTCTCGCCGTGCTTGTAAATTCTGGTGGCTGTTACCGTGTTTGGTCCCATCCCGTCGCCTATAAACAGAATCACGTTTTTCGCGACTTTTTTGTTGACCGCCACGTTCAAAGCTTCGTCCAGCTCGGTTTTGCCTACTGACATCCAATACGCTTCATCTACATAATTACGTATTAATTTATATAATGTATAATACATGTACACAAAATATAATACAAGGACTACTATAGTGATCGATTTAAATGGTTAATAATATATATACCTGATTATATTCTTTATGGTGAATATTATTGGAATGCTATTGTTAATAAACAAATAATGTAACATTGTTATATAACAATGTTACTAAACTAGATGATTATTGAGTCTTAAATTAAGATAAAATAAATGAAATACATGAAAAACTAACAGAAGAACTAAACATAAGCCATCATGAAATCGGAACAAGTCTTCGTCCAAATACAGACTGCRACGAAGTAAGCACCATACATTTTTTCAAAGCAACACAATTTCTCTAATTACAATAAGATTTTAAAATTAATAACTGTAATTATTCATTTTTATGCACTTTTTTAAAAATATATATTTTTAT